CCGGATCCTGCGGGGTCCGGCACCCCGGCGATGCAGGGGAGACCTGCCACGCAGCCGTGTGCCTGAGACAGATGGAAGCTGACAGGCTTTTTCCGAACTGAAATATTTATGGGGCGGGAGCGGCATGGCTGGTCCCAGCAGCCCTGGGTCCGGCTCCCTGGATCTGCCGCAGCGGTTCCTGGGGAAGGATGGATCCAGGCCAGTCGGAGCAGCGAGGGGGCCAGGGAGGAGCTCAGCCAAAGGGGAAACCTCCCAGCTCCCGGCTGTGGGATGCGAGGGCTGCAGAGCTCCCGTCCTACCCCCAAATGCTTTCCCAAAAGCTGCAGGATCCCACCGGGGTCGGCACATCCCGGGGTGGAGCGGAAGGGAGAGGGGGTTCATCCCCGCTCCCACTGCCGGACCATCCCCGGGGACCGACAGCTTGCATCAGCATCACTCTCAAGGCTGGGGTTTGGGATTTTTTTTACTGCAGTTTTTTCCCCTCCCCTCTCTCTCTCCTTCTGGCCTATTTTTGTCTTTTGCAGGGGCTCAGGAGTTTTCCTGAAACAGCTTTTCCGAAGGAGGCTACTCTCAGATGGACGGTCGGTGGGAAAGTCTTCGCTTCCCCCCGCCATCGCTCCTCCTACACGCCCCGCGCTGCTGCTGCTGCTGCTTGGAGCTGCAGCCGCTTTTTGGAGCATGCAGAGGAACACAGCACCCGAGGGGGGGGAGAGGAGTAAAAATAGTCCCTTGCAGCCTACTGGGGCCCCGCTTCTCCCTGAGGGAGCTATGGCCAATTGGGTTAGGTAGGACCTATTTCAGTCCCCCCACGCTCGGTGAAGGCCTTTCTTCCCATGACCCTGTTTGAAGATGCTGCCTCCCCGTGAGGAAGAGGAGGGGGGGCTCGGCCCTGCAGAACAAAGGGGCGGGCTGCCACCGAGCCCCTTCTCCATCTCTGGGGTGGTGGCCGGCACGCAAGGGAAGAACAAACAGTCCGTGCTGCTGCGGGCAGGGCTGAATCATTGGTGGGGACCCCCCAGCCCCGGCGGGGGCATGGGAGGGCAGGGGGGCAGCGGAGCCAGGCATGGAGCACGGGCAGGTTTGCTTGGCTCCTTGCCTGGCACGTGGGGGGCGAGCGGGGCATGCTTACCGATGTTGGGGTGCTTCAGGAGGCGGCAGATCCGGGCTTCTCGTTCCAGCTTCTGGTGATCTGAAAGAGGCAACAGCCCTAAAATAGCGTCTTGGGAAAGGGAATAAACCGCTCTCAGCTCCTGCCGTGCTCTCTCGGAGGAGCTGCCAGCATGGGAAACCTGGGGGGATGGAGCAGCTGACAAGAAGCAAACCCATCCTTTTTTTTGTTTTTGCTAAAGGGTTTGGGGACATGTTCAGCATCAGGGCCTGATGGACAGTATCCCAGCACGGATGCAGCCCCCAGGCAAGCCCCCAGTCACCGATGCCATGGGCAGACTTGCGCTTTGGATGATCCCTCACCCTCCTCTCTCCCTTCTCTTTGCTGAACAACTCCCGATCGCTTCCCGAATCCCCTGGAGCTGCCTGGGTTATCACTGCCAGCAGCACCTGTTCCGTTTTCTCGTATTCAGCCAAGCACAGGCAATCAGCAAGGACATTTCTGGCCCCGCACGGTACAATTTGAACAATCGAAGATAGAGCCAACCAGCGAGAGATGTCAAGCTGAAATGGGGCTATCCACTGCTCCTCCCCTCTCTCCCAGCCGTTTCACATCAGGTCTTTGCTATCCTACATCGCAAAACCCTGGCTCTGAAAATTGGCTTAGCTCTGGTGCCTGTCTCCGATCAGGCAGCACAGGTCCCTCTCCCCAGCTTTCCCCGGGCTCGGGGATGTGAGACAACGGAGCTCTGGGCAAAGCAAGTTGAGCTGAGCCAAAAAGCCTCCACCCTGGGGCAGCCCAGAATGAATTTTCAAATAAATCTGTTTCTTTTCCCCTGGCTCTGCACTTTTCTCCCTCCTTATACCTGACCCAGCCACCCTGCGTGGAGGTGCCTTCTCTGGAGGCATTTCGTGCTAGCAGGAACCCAGCAGCCGGGAGAAGCGAGGATATAATTAGGGCTGCTCGTCTCTCAGCGCTATTGCTGTTACCTTGCAGGTTCACACCCCAGGGTCTCGCTCTGCATCGAACCAAACCTGGGTGTCCCCGACTGCTCAGACTTGAAGGATACGTAGACCCTTCCCTGCGGAGGCTGGAGCCTTCCCCAGGGTTCAGTATCCCCCGTCCAGTGACCGCGGGGCTCGGCACAAGCAAGTCACCCCAGGGCTTGGGGTGAGTTTTGCAGCCTGTGCTGGGATCCGCGAGCTGAAGGCTGGGACAGCCTCGGTGGCCTCGTTCAGCGCCCCATGGCGTTCCCCCCTAATGGGGGACAACCTCCCCAGGGTGGGACGGGGCGACAGGGAGAGGTCGGGGTTTAGGCTGTTGCTTTTCTCAACCAAAATCCAATGTGGGGTGGAGGACAGGGACAGGATGGAGGGACAGTGTGACCAGTGGGGAAAACACTCTCCGGGGAATGGGGGAGCTGCTTTCTGCCCCCTTTTCTGCTCCTGCCTGACAGTGATCTTAGGTGAGTCACCGATCGTCACTCTCTGCCTCAGTTTCCCCATCTGCAGCACGAAGGCTGGGGCCAAATAGCCCACGGGGAAGCCCAGCATTGCTGGTGTCCAGTAAAGCTCCTTTGCTTGCTTAGAAGAGGCCAGAGATCACAGGAGAGGGAGGTGAATGTGACCCCGAGTATGGAGCAGCTCCCGGCACCGCTCTGTGTGCCTGCACGCCGCTGCCAGTCGAGCCTTCAGCTGCACAGGGGAGAGCGTGGCTGCTGGCGGGGAGCGGGGGGCGGGAGTTTCCCCCATCCCTCCCCTGCCACGAGCCGCCTGACTCGGCCCTGGCTCCCCGGCTGAGCCGCAGCAGCAGCAGTGCCGTGCAGCCCCCCCCCCAGCTGCTGCCCCCCTCTTTGTACCCTCGCAATCTGTCGCCACCGAAATGCCTGAGGAGGCAAAGCCCGGCACAGGCAGCTTGGCGGGGAGCGTTGGGAGGCTGGTGGGGTTCGATAAACCACAAACAGCACGGGGAGGGGGTGGAAGACCAGCGAAAACCAGGCATAACGGAAAATGGATCAGGGAGTTTAAAGGGGGGCAGAGATGGGGTCCCTCTGAAGGGGAAGCGGACAGAAGTGGGGACCCAGCGGCACCCGAGGCTGGGAAAGGTGCTTATCCCTACGGGGTGAGGGCCGGGGACCCCTGCCCGGGGACCCCCGGGCAGTCCCCAGCAGCAATGCCCCGGCAGGGCATACCCCAACGCATCCAGCTGGCCTTTGAAGGGCGAAGCCGTGCGGGTGCGGGGGAGGCTGCCGTGCCTGCAAAGCTGCAGCGCCTGGGGATGCAGCCCTGGGTAACCCCGGCTCTTCCCCTTGGCATGCCCTGGTGTGCGAGCACCTGGTAGAAAAGGTCGCGGGGGAGCGTGGCCATCGCTCACCCCCGTGCCACGGGCTCAGCTGCAAAACCCAAGGGGAAGAGCTGCCTGAAATAAGCCGCCTGCCGCCCGGGGAGCGAAGGCAGCCTGCACTCCCGGGGGTCTGCTCTTTCCAAGGCTGCGTGGGTCCTGCTCGGGCAGAGCTTCTCTGCCATCAATGCACAGTGAGAACGGGCTGGGCGCGGGGGCAGAGCCCAGGGCTGGGTCCCCGGGTCTGCGGTTTCCTCTGAGCATCGTGTGGATACAACCTCTGCACGGGGTCGCAGGCTGGCAGGGGACCCCCCGGTTGCGCAAATCTCCGGGACACAGCTTGCAGGGGCTTTGCCCGTGGGTGGGACAGCTGTGCCAGAGCAGCGGGGCAGAGGGACAGAGGGACAGGGGGATGTCCCTCAGGCAGAGGAACCCTGCCAAGCCTGGGGGGTCAGAGCATCCTCCCACCCACGTGGCATGGCACATCCACCACGCAGTGAAGTGCTGCCGGGGGCAGCGAGCCACGGCCGCAGCCCCTCTCCTGCCCCACAAATCCAGCTGCTGCCTGGACCCAAAACCCTTTTCTCCTCCAAAAACTCCGGTTTCTCTCCTGCTGGCTCCCTGTGTCAGCAGCCGGGAGGACGTCTGAAGAGACCATGGGGATGTTTCGCAGCTCCTCTCACCTTCCCCCCAACCCCTCTCCTCCCTGCACACCTTCCCTCCTGCCCTTCCCGTGTGACACCACCAGCCGGTGGCACATCCCAGTGGGGATGTGTCCCTTTGGGGATTGCTCCCAGCCTGGGGAAGCGCCACCCCCCATGCTAGCACTGCAGAAATGGGGGTTTCAAGGCTGTTAGCAAAAGCAGCTGGTGATTTCAGCTGGCAGAGCACGGAAAATAACCCTGATGAGGTCTCTCCAGGGGACAGAGAGACAGACAGACAGAGAGCCGCTGCAGGAACAGCGCAAACCCCAGAAGAGGATGGAGAGGGGCAAACTGCTGGAGCAGGCGAGTGGAGGCAGGAGGGAGCAGAGGGAAGGCGGCTCAGTCTGCTCCTCCAGGCAGCCCTGCAAACCGGGAGGCGTTTGCTGCCCGCTGCCAGCTGGGGTGCGCAGGCAGGAGCCGAGTGCCGAGGCCAGCACCGCACACCCTGCCCGGAGCCCGGCCGGCTGCCCCGGGCTGGGAGCCTTTGGCCTCGGAGGAAGGGGATGGTCTGCATCCCCAAAGAGGGGGGCAGCTGGGAGAGCTCAGTGTCAGTGCTGTGCCACTTTGGCAGCGCTGTGGGAGGGAGATTGCAGAGCACTGGTTTAATTTGAGGTCAGAAAGGAGTTTGTCACTGTTTTCTGCGTTTCATTTTTGCCTTCGGAGGTGAGCAGTGGCGTCAGGGAGAGAAACCGAGGGAGGGAGTTAATTAAACCCTCCCAGCAGGGCGCTCGCTCCCGGCACCCATCCTGCTCTCCCCAATGCACCCGGCCAGGAGGAGCCAGAGCCGGGGACACGGCAGCTGCAGCTCCTCTCCCAGGTGCCTGGGGGCAGGGGGGTCTTCAGCTTCAGGCTGAAGCTTTTCTGTGCTGGCTCAGCTCAGCCTTGCCCTGAGGAGCAGTCAGGACAGACCTGCCACCACCTCTTCCAGCAGCAAAGCAGCCAGCGTGCTCCGCCGGGGCGATTAATTAGACGGCAGTGAGGGGTGAGGGCCCATCTCCAGACAGGAATGAAATCGATCCCCCACCCAAAGAACCTTCCCATTTCACTGATGTAGGTACATGAATAAGGAAATCCACAGCCCCTGGGAGCGGGGACGGGGGGGGTCAGCGGGGGGCCCTCTCAGGGAGGTGATGCTCCCAAAATAACTGTGCTACCCAATGCCCGAGGCCGGCAGCAGTTTGACTTGCTGCAAGGCTGTAACCATAATTTTGCCGTGACATGGTGTGCAGGGTGGTGGTGGTGTCTTAGGGAGAGAAATGGGGTCCTACAGCTCCCCGGGCAGGCTGGGGCCCGGGAGCCCCCCAGAGCCCTGGCACAGCCGAGCTGCAGGTGAATCCCCGCGATCCAACAGGATGTGGTGAGCAGCCACCAAGATGGGACATCAAGGAGCTCAGTGTGTACCGCAGTGGAGACAGGGTGGGATAAGGGGGTCCCCCACCGCACATCAAACACCCCCCGCCTCGCCGCACATCAAAGGCATCATCCCGGCGCTGTGCAGAGGGGACAAATTCCCTGCTCTGCAAACCCTGCTCGCCTCTCGCCTCCCTGAAAACGCCCCCAGCACCTACCTCGAGCAGACAGCTTCTTGGTGTTGATGATCTTGGCCGCATATTCTTGTCCCGCCAACACCTTCACGCATCTCCGAACGATGGAGAAAGCGCCCCTGGGAAGACAAGAAGCCGGAGGGAGAGGTGAAGGGCTCGGCACGGGCAAAGGCATGGCTCAGCCCTGACATGCCTGTGGGGCGAGGGGCAGCCACAGGCACGGGGACGGGCATGGGGATGGGTGCTGGCTGGGGAAGGGGCTTGGAGAAAACATGGAAGGCTCTCCGTGAGCTTCCCTGCACCCCTGTCCTCGGGGGATGATGGGAGCAGGCACAGGTAGACCTGGGGATGAATGCAGGATTCGCCCCTCCGTGCTCCCCGGGACACCCCTGGCATCATGCGCCTTTCCTCCGCTCCCTCCCAGGCTCTGCCCTACCTATCCCCCGGGAGAGAAGGGACAGTGATTCACCGGGGGTACTGGCTCCCAAGGGACACCAGGATGGCTGCAGCTGCCACGCAGCACTCGGCCACTTCACTTTTGTCCATGTATGTGTCTTTGCATGCTCTAGACCTTGCAATCGCAGCAGCACTTTGCAGAAGCGGGTGTGAGCCCCAGCCACGGGTGCAGGTGAGCGGTGCAAGGTCGTCCCCCCCCAGCTGCAAACCTGTGGCACCAGCAGGGACAGCCCAGGGGACCCTGTGAGCAAGGACCACCGGAGCCAAGCAGGACGGGGATGGACGATGCTGTGGCTTGCGCACATGTGAGCCAACATGCAGGGGTCTCCTGGCAGGCAAACGAGCACGGGTGCTTGGGAGGCTCCAAAGAAGCCCCTCGGCCCCTGTACCCCGAGCCCTGCCAGCTCGTGGCACTGAAAGCGCCGGCGCGATGCCGGGAGCTGCGGCATTGCACACACACACGCGCAGACGCACACTCCAGCCCTGCTGAGCACAACCTTTGTACCAGGTTCCCTTTCCTGCCAAACCTCTCCAATCACTAAAATAACAACTATCAAAAGCGATCTCACCTCCCGCCCCACCTTCCCCCCCGCTCCCCGTCGCCCTGCTCCCGCTCCCTGCAGAGGAATGCAGGCTGGCGAGCGGCGGCGGATAATTGATTTTACCGGTGGGGGCGGGTGGAGACGGGCAATTTGGGTTTGCATGTGATCTTTAGGAGAACAGGTGAGCAGCGGGGTGCAGAGGGATGGGGCGGGAGCCCCAGCGGAGCCGGCAGCCCACGCACCCAGCGCCGCCGTGCAGAGCATCGCTTGCGGCACGTGCCAGGCAGGAGCCGGGGGAACAGCATCCCGGAGCTTCCCGGCCTCCCCGTCCTGCCATTTAATCCTGGCTGCTGGAAGAGCCTGGCTATTAACATCCCTGTAGTCTGAGGGAATTAATAGGAAAGAAGGGGAGAAATGCTTCGTATCCAGCTTGTCGTGGGTGGGGGAGACCGGAGCCATCGCCAGCCCCATGGTGCTGCTCTCCCCGTCTTGCACTGCCTGGGGTCTGGGGTCTCCTGTGGGTCCCTGCCACCCGAATTTCCTCTTTTTTTTCATAAAGACGTGTGCTGCTTTTGCAGTGCCAGGAAAGCCTGCAGGAGTGAGCGCAGCAAGCAGGGAAGCCCCCGTGCCCACCACCCCTGCTCGGGGTTTCTACCCCAGCCGCAGGGTTTCGCTGTGGGACCTGACGTGGGGTTGGAGGGGCGTAGGTTCCCCAGCCCCCCTGGAGGCTGGGGACCCCCGGCCACTCCTGGTCCCACTGCCCACAGCCACTTACTCATCCATTTATTCAAGCTAAACCGAACAGCGGGGAAGGGGGAGCCGTGGGAAGCAGGATGCGGCAGCCGGGGACGGGATGTGCCGCACCGGCAGAGCACAGGGTTTCGCACCCCCAGCTGCATTTGTGGCTTTTGGCTCCTCCGGGCCTTTTTAACAGAAACCAAAGCAAGACCCTGTGAGCCCGGAGGGTGGCGGGGACATGAGGTGCTGGGCGCGGGTGCAGGACACCCAGGGGTACAGCACGCTCTCCATAGCCCTGTCCCAGTCCCAGTCGGGTCTGCGCTGGCCGGGACTCCCCCCACGTTGGGTGTTTGACCCCACTGGGCATTTCACAGCAGCCAGGCTCTGCTCCCCGTGCCAGGCTGCTCCCGTGCTTCCCAGCCCCATGTGGGATCTTCCCAGCCTGGGGGAAAAAATCCCACCTTGGCTCCATACACATCTAGCATCTCCTTCCCCACGAACGCAGGCATCCCCCCTCTGCAGCGGGGGCTCACGGCACGGTGTGAGCAGTGCAGGGGGTGCCAGGCAGGGAGCTCAGACCCATCTTGCTGCCAGAAACCCCTTTGGAAGGAGATGTGGGCAGCG